AAAACAGGTGTCAAGTCCTGTTCGAATTCAGCCGTGAACTTGGGCAACTTTAAATAGACTCGCTTTCGAGTAAGCAATGAAATAATATTCTCCAGCGATGTTGTTGACAATGCCTCTATTAGAGTCTCTAGCCCGAACGTCTTATTTGGCAGGATGATAATCATTTGCAGAGGAGTATTACTAAAGTTTAGACGCAAAGCTTTTGCATCGAATTGTTTCAAGTCCGCATAGTCATATTCATGGAAATTGTTCATCATCAGTACTCTGATTTTGTTCTTTGGGTCGATATGAAAAAACTCTCGGCGAGTGGCCCGCGCTGAAAATCCGATGCTCCACTCGGCTTTAAAGTGAGCAGCACTTATAAGAACCAGCCCTGTGGTTTCGTTGAGTATATCGGGACTGACCTGATCTTTAATAAGATGATTCATCTTGGTCTCTATCCACTCGTTAATCTTTTCTGCAGCAACTGTGTTCTCAGAGAAATCTACATTTTCAGGTTCCGAGTGGAACTTCTCAGTTAAAATCTCATGAAATTCCGGACGTATTTCGAATTCCTGCATAACATACATCTTGTAGGCCATATTTAGCATGGTGTCATCCTGATAGGGTTCCAATGCGATATGAAAATCCTCGGCTATTTCCGACTCATCGCTCGAAGTAAACCCGATGCCCTTATCTAGCTCCTTGGCCGTCGTAGTGCCTTCATCGGCGCCCAATCGAATCATACCCAGGCAGGAGTGTATTGAGAGTGGTGAGAATATCAGATTTTTACCCGGATTCATGATAAACAATTTACTGACAAGTTTTCCAGAAAAGGTACTTAGAGCACTAAAGAAACTTATTGACCCCTCTGCGTCTGCCATGTTGGCTGAGGAAGTATTTAGCAGGCCATATAACCGCAGTTGAACTAAGCGGCGCTAGATTGAACTAAGAAACACTATACATTTGAATAATTTAAAAATAATTTTTTAATAATTATGTCAAAGCTTTGATGTATGAATCCTACAAAGCAATGGAAAGCTCTAAGGTAGCTGCTTTGAATACAGCACAGCTTAATTTCAAATTCTATCAAACACAGGGTATCTCGTAGTCGATTGAACATCGTTAGCTATTATTCGGTTCTAACGTGCTGTGTTGTTGGAAAATTGCAGGCAAACAGGCAAACATTTTCGCTAATTGGCAACCGCGCGGCAGCCCAAAGAAACGACAACAAACGCGTTGCCAGCGGCGACTGCGACTGCGACTGCAGCTTTTGTTCAATTAGAAGCGAAACCCAAGCGCACGAAGGGAAGCGCAACAGGAAGAGGAGAAGGTGAGGAGCGCAAACACACCAAAGACTTCTTCAGTTCGCGCTGAGGGTGTGTGAAATTGCGAGAGTGCAACAAACAAAATGAAGAGGATGCAAAAGAAACAGAGCAACTAGAACAACAGCTAATTGTTTTACTGAAGTGCAGAAGTGATAAAGTTAACAAGTCTAATGATGATAATTATTAAACGAAACAACCAAGCAACTGGGGATGGATGAGGCCTACATGTGGCAGGTTTTGATATAACAAAAGCAACTGTAATTGGGCATCCAGTTTAATTAGGTAAATTATAAATCCAGAATCCAGAAAAAATTCAATTCTAGCTCTATTCATATGTAATCTAGGTTAACATTATCATTACAATCAGGGTTAACATTTCCATACACACGCATCTCTTAACCGCAGCGCGCACAGACACACTCACGGATTTACAAAGTTTTCGTGGTGAATTGAAAAGCTTCTAAAGACGCCCCAAATCTGCAACCGCCCATTGTCCATTGCACCGAGTCAAGGCGCAGCGGGCTGGCCACAACAGAAGCATCGAGAGAGAGACAATGACAACAATAATAAAAGCTGCGCTCAAAATCAGACACCACACAGACACACATTTAAATCATTACAGCACACGCAAAAAATGAAAAAGAAACAAGTACAAAGCATGGCGTGTAAAAAGAAAACGACAATTACAGCAACAACAGAAGCAGCGAGGCGGCAGACAGCATGCAAGAAAAAGTAATAAGAACACATATAGAAGAGAACCAGAAAAAACAGAACGCCGAGTGCGCCACATGCAACGATACAACAACAACAGAGAACCTATACGAAAGAAAAAAAAAAAACGAAAACCGAAACAGAAACAAAGGGCTGCTCACGAGCACTGGGGAGACGCAGCGCCCATAGATGAGGCTTCTGCCGGCAGCTCCGCGCTGTTAAGCGCAAATCAATGACCTACGACATCAACAACAATGAGAGTAAACGCAGAGGCAACGCCAAACAGAGAAAGAGAGAGAGAATAAGAGCAAAAACCTAGCATAGTGTTGAAAAGATGGCAAATGCTCGCTCTGCTGCTGCCGCTGCTGACTGGGGCCTGTCTCTGTCTCACACAAACACACACTCACCTAAAGGGCGAACGAGCTAAAAAGTGGAGTAACAGCGACAACAACAAAACAAAAGCTCACACACACACACACACGAACACAATTACAAATTTTGTCTGTGTTTTATGTTTCGTTTCGCTCCTGTGGCTGTGGCTGCGGCTGCTGTCCTGGCATAATTGCAATAAATTCGTTTTCTGTTTCGTATTGTGAGCTGCTGCCAGCCAAAGAGATTGCGAAATAAGCGCTAAAGGAAGTTGTTGCGAAATAAAAAAAAAAGGTAACGCTCAGGCAACAATAACAAGCAAAAGGGACGCGAAAGTGAGAAATTTTGAAGGAAAAGGAATGCGACGAGTGAATGCTCTCAAAAAACGCAAATATTAAAAATGAAGGGCAAAGGATAAATAAATAATAAAATAATATTAATAATAAACTAATTGCAGTGATTTTAAGCAAGTAACTCTCGCCATCGCCATCTCTTCTTCTTTATCTTTATCTATCGGTTATCCCTGTAGACTGTTGCCTGATCGTCTGCCAGACTTTAACCGCAAATGTCAAGCAGAAACCACAGCGAGTGAAATTCTTTAATTAAAATTGCTTCGCTCTTAAACATTCGTGACATAACAGCAACCACAATGAGGCGGAGTGCAAAATAAAATAGGAATATGTAAGAGGCAAAGGTAGAACTCGAGGTGGAAAAACTGCATGTAGAGCTATGTAGCTGAGAGCTCATTAAGTTCAAGTCGAGTATTAAATTCTTTTATTTATAAATGCGAGTGGTTTCCGAGTACTGCGAACAAATGCCTTCACAGAACCGACTTGTTGTAGTGTGTGGATGCGCGTTTGTGTGCTCAACGCTTATAAGGCAGAAAATTGCAACCGGAATGCATTTGTTAGCGGAACAGAGAACATAGAACTAAACTAACCGATGGTGAGCAGAGGGAGGGGCGCAGCAATACGAGGCAATCGAGAAACCATAAGCAAAGCAAAGAGACAAAGCGCTAAAACGTGTCTCAAGTCTAAAAAAGAAATAAAATAAACCAACTACCAGCTGGCCAAAAAGAAGAAGACGAAGACTAGGCAGAGCAAAAGAATAAAAAACCATCGCTAATTTAACTTGACAGCTTATTAAAGTATAAAAACAAAAGAGAAATAAAGTTGCTATATATAACTTATATTTATGCTTTAACATCAAATTCAACATTTATAATAGCTTAAAAGTGAATCGTTCTAAGAAATAATGTTTCGCCATTATTGTCTAAATATTTGATATAGAAAAGGACACGATGTTTATAATAATCGATGAGCAACACATTTCCATTTGCATATTCAAAATTATTGTTGTTCCACTTAGACTCGAAAACCCCAATTATGTTAACTTTTATTCATTATGTTAACTGTCCTTGATTATGTAATGAAGTAGGCTGCGCCAAAATCATAAAACTAAACTTGTTATTATCTAAAAGAAAACTTTTTTATGGCAAAGCTATTTCCTGGTAGTAAAAAGTATTCTTCTAACAGCTTTTTATGCCAGAACCAATAAGAAAAGCTAATCAGAGCACTGACACGATTTATCAGCACGTGTGATATAATCTCTCAACTACCCCAAATGCGTAAACTAACATTCCCTTCCCAATCCAGTGTCTAGACCAAAAGACAATCAATTCGGATATGTGAAAATCATTTCATTGGCTACGCACATAGCGAAAAGCGAGAAGGAAAATAAGAAAATATGATTTCACACATCAATTTATACGTATGGTCGGAAAATGGAAAATATAATGAAAATAGAAAAACCAACAATAACAATAAACAGTTTTATGATGTGTGTGTCTATAAGGAAAAACTTGAAAGGGCTCTGAAGAGCAACAACAAATTCGGATTCGGGAAAAACAGCAAAGAATAGCGCAAATAAAACTTTGCAATTTACAGCAAATATATATTTTTTTTTTTTGCGTTTTGGGCTTTTCCCCTTGATTCGGACAGGGTGGTAATTGGGGATATACAACTGGCCATAAAAGCCAAATTATTGATTAACCAAAGACTCATGCGGCAAATTTTACGACACGAGCCATTTGATCACTGGGAAAAAAAAAATGAAACCATCATAAAAGAAATCTTTGTCATTTCTAATAGCCCCAACACCCATGAGAGAAAACTTGAGGAAAAGCAATGGGATATAGAAAAGTAAAACCTACATTTAATTATTACTGTGATAAGACTTTTTATTTCAAACAAATATGATAAGGACAAACAGACGTCAGAAATCCTTTAAGTTTCTCAAAATGTATTCGCACAACAAATAAACACATTTCCAAACTTTTAGCTGGGTGTATACTAAATCCCTATGTGGTTAATATTTAAACACATTTGTAGCCCAAATATCATTCATATATAGCCCTAAAACTTGTCCATTTAATCATCATCAATCAACTTAGTCGATGGATGGATGATATTAACTAAAACAGAAATCGCAAACACAATTCATTGATTAGCCCAAAATGGAACTTATCTAAAGTGCTATACCTAGTTGACTAAATATATGCAGACATATATGTATATTTGTCTGTGTCTATATGTGTATAGATAGTCTACTCACCGCTGCATTCCGATTGACGGCGGCAGCAGCTGCGGCCGAGTTGTTCATATATTGATTCTGTGGCGGCATCAGAGCAGCGCCCATAGCAGCGGCGGCGGCAGCAGCGGCATGCTGTTGCCCGCCCATATAGACAAAGTCCTGTGGTCCGCCCGGCGGTCCCAGCTGCGGTGGAGGTTTCGGCATACCGCCATTCATGCCCGGATGCAGTGCGCCTCCATGATGATCGTACATGTTGCCGGTGGCACCAGATTGGGCATACGGCGTCATCGGACCCATGGCAGCGCCAGCGGCAACGGCTGCGGCCACCTGATTGTTCATCACATGGCTGAGCAGATTCGAGTTGTACTGATGCTGGCCGGGATGTGTCTGGCCGGGATTTTGGCCCTGTTGCTGTTGCTGCTGCCCGGGATGCGGCTGACCCAAGCCGCCGAGTCCATTGCCATTGCCCAGTCCATTGCCGCTGCCCATCATATGATGCGCTTGACCCTGAGTACCCTGCTGTTGCTGTTGCTGCTGCTGTGAATGTTGCTGCTGTTGTTGTTGTTGCTGCTGTTGTTGTTGTTGCTGCTGCTGCTGCTGCTGTGCTGCAACTGCGGCGGCCGCCTGCGACATCATGTGATTATGCTTGGCTACGGCGGCCTGTTGCATGGCAGCCATATTAGCTGCCGCAGCTGCCATCGATGGATGATGTAGACCCCCATTGATGCCGCTGCCATTGCCGCCCATGCCGCCACCGCCTAGGCCACTGCCCATGCCAATGGTACCAATGGCACCGGGTCCGCCATTGCTGCCACCGTTGCCCGGTGGTGCGCCAGGTGCAGCATTCGCTGGATTCATAGGTGGATTGTATTTCCATTTATCGGGATTCTGGTACACACACAAAAGAAAAGGGAAAAACTTTATGAAAAGTCAAGTCTTCTTTGAAAAAAAAATAAAATAAAATAAATGCATACAAAACCAAGAGAAATCTTTGTCAATCTCTCACATTATTTAAGCAAGCTCTGGCAGTTACTCCTACTGCTTCCCACCCACTAAGGCCCCCTGCTGTTCCTGCTGTTAATGCAGTGGACTATGCCAGCCATAAACACACGCAAAAGCGTCAACAAGATACCTCTTAAACAGACAAATAATAAATAGAAAACCTAATACAAAAAAAACTAAACTTTTTCTCTTTACTAATTGTTTTTATCTTTTAGTATAATCAATTGTTTATTATCTAGAATATACTTCTCCATATATTTGACATATTTTATTTGCTAAGGCTGTACAACCCTTTAACATGTTATACTTTAGGGTATCAAAGGCAAAACAGCGTATAGAAAGGAGAAAATTTGCTTTTAAAAAGAATTAAGTGAGGGTAAAAAAACTACGTAAAATAAAAATACTGAACAAATGAAAATTTTAGTATTTTAGGCAAGTCTCTTTATATTTTTACCAAATAACAAATGGAATTTTGCTTTAATAACAAAAACAAATTGGTTTTAAAGCTACAAACAAATCGAAATTAACTAAGATATCCTGTTACTTGCACAATATTCAAAACAAAATTGAATTTATAGAAATTCATTAAATGTCTTTTCAGTACTTTAGTATTTAGTAAACAATTTAAATTTGAAAAAACTGATTTGAAATTTGCTTTTAAATGTAATGTACTTGTATTTTAATATTTATTTATCATTTTTAATTACTATTCATAATATTAATTTTTTTTTCTGTGTACTTTTAACTGATATCGATATGCAACACTGGCACACCTTTTTGCATTTATGTAATTAACAGAATTCAATAACAGCTCAGAAACTAACTCTCTCTCTCTCTCTCTCTCTCTGACTCAAGGCTCGCTCCTGGAGAGAATTCTCTATCCTTGCTTTTAAGTTAAAGTGCTGTTGGCGCTTAGCCAAATCTACCAAATGGTTTTATATTATAAATATATAAATGTATGTAATTTATTTATGTTTTTATATTTATATTTCTGCTAATGTACTCACATCGATGCCATGCTCGTCGCCGCATGCCCAACGCGTCTGCTGTTGTTTTTGGGCAAAGTGGACCGCATATTCAGCAGCCGCGGCGTCGTGCAAGTTGGAGCCAACGGGTCCGACGCCGACGCCAGCGCCGATGCCGCCGCCGGGTGATGGGCGCTGCTGAAAAACAAAGCCAACGGCAGCGGCGGCTGCGGCAGCGCTCGCTGCGTCCACATCCTGCGCATTGGAACCGCATGTATCGCTACCGACGCCGACGCCGACCCCGCCGCGTCCGTTGCGATCATCATTACCGCCCAGAAACTTCATGTGTTGCAACTGTTGTTGTTGTTGCTGCTGCTGTTGTTGTTGTTGCTGCTGCTGTTGTTGTTGTTGTTGCAAATGCTGAAAGTATGGTGAAGGCGGCGGCAGTGGCCCGTAATGTTGCTGCTGCTGTTGGAGATGATGATACGGTGCCTGCTGCTGCTGTTGCTGCTGCGGCTGTGTTTGTAGATGATGCTGCGGCGATGGCGACGCGGTTGGCGCTACCGTCGATATCGAGATTGTGGGTGCGCTTAACAGCTCAATTTTGACGGCTGTTTGCTGCACGCTCAGCTCACGATTTGGCGCGTATTGCAAAAACCACACAAAAACAGCCGAATAAAATCAGAAAACAAAAAAACCAAAAAGAGACGTACAATAAATTTGACGGAACGAGAACAACAGTTTAAAAGTAACTGGACGACGTTACGTTGTGGCTACAATTTAAAAAATTGCGGATACGTCGCGCGTACAGTGGGACGAGAGCGCATGTGGCTTTTACCGTTCTTACACTTCTTCTTTGCTTTTGGTTTATGTTTGTTTTGATTTTGCGATTCTTATCGATTTGTTTTTCGTTCTTTTATTATTATTTTTTCTTTACTTAGTTAGAAACCACACTTTTATCTTTCTTAATATTAAATATTAATTTACAGTCATTTGAAAGATTTTAATTACATTTATCGATTGATATTTGCATACACTCGAAAAAAAAACTTGCACGTTTTTGGTATGGTTTAATTTTTTTTTTTTTTACAAAAATTTACATTATTTAACACAAACTATGAATAATACTTTACACAGTGAAACCAACCAAATATAAAAACTATTTTCAATGCATTATTTATGAGAAGTGGGTTTGAACGATTAAAACTTGCTATAAATATTTTTTACAGATCAATTGAAATTTATTGAGATTTAAAGATTTGATGTTTTTAGTTGTTATTATTTTGAATTATAATTAGGATGATTTTAATTTACACGACGTTTTAATGATGAAAATATACACAAACTGTAAAGAGAAACAATATACAATAAATAATATTAATATTTTATATTAAGTAAATTATATCGATATTCATACATACACTCATTTAATTTACAATTATTATAATTATTACCAGTGTGCCTACTTTGAGCTGGTCATGGTATAGAACAAAGATAACGCAACTGGCAGATAACCAGCTGAAGAATATGTTGAACAAAAGCTTTAACATTATAAATAAGCTAAATAAATGCGCCACTGCTTTATTAAAAACAAAAATAAATACAAAAAATAAATTTAAAAAAAAAAAACAATAACAAAGCAGAAATCGTAAACGAAGAAGAAGAAGCAGAAACAGGAGTAACTAAAGGAAAAAAGCCGAATATCATCAGAAGCAACTGCAAAGAACGCGACGGCAACGACTCTGAATCATGCGCGAAAAATACGCAAAGAAAACGACAGTAGTCCAAAGGAGGGGAGGCGACTAAACGAAAGAAAAAACATATAAATTAACATATACACACACCAACAACAATAACAAGAACAAAACGAAGTGAACGGCGGCCGGCAGCAGCCGCTGCGTTTTGAGGTTAAGTTACAAAATATGTAAGCAATCGTCCATCGTCTGTTTCTCTGTTGTTTATATGCGCGCGAGCCAGCGACAGTTTGCCCACACCCTATCCCCGTCCACTCCCACTGACAACCAAAGAGAGCGCCCAGAGCACGGGCAAAAGACAAGTGCAGCATGCGAAACCACAGTGCCTAGCGGGGGCCTCACTCACTCAGTCACGCACACACAAACACACACACACAAGCAAACGCACGTTGCCGATACAAAAACAAACATAAAGATAAACGCCAAAAAGAGACATGTGAAAAACAAAAGTACGAGAACAAACAGCATAAAAAGGAGCTGCAAAGCGAGCGAGCGATGCGCACAGCAGCCAAAAGGGGGGTGTGGCAAGCGTATTAGTGTATAAATATTATGTATATAACCAACCTTGCAAAATACATAATTTAGTTAATTAAAATAAATATTTAGCCATATTTTCGTACATTAATTTGTTTTTTATTTTAAACATCGGAAACAACACTGCCGCTCTTATTGGGAAAATTCTTGTATACAAATGCAAGGCACACGGCAAGAGAGCGAAAGCACAAGCAAGAGCACAAGAGTGTGAGCGAAAAAAACAAATATTTTAAACGCCGTGCCGTGCAAATGTAAAGAAGAAGCAAATGGCCGCCGCTGTCAAGGAAGAAAAAGAAACAAGGCACAGGCGGATAATGGACGAATGGACAGAAGACGACAAACGCACACACGCACAGAAATAAGAATATACTCTAAATATTTGGAGAGCCAATCGGAAAAATTATTCTCTTTTTGCAGTTACCTTCCAAAAATTAGTGCAAAGCCAAAGTGAACCACACGCATAAAAAGGAACATGAATATCACTCAATTGATTTTTACCTTTTATTTTATGCAGCGACGCACACGAGTAGCATTTACTTAAAAACTTACAAATTTGCGACTATTTATACATGTTATATACATGTATATATCTATATATATATATATATATATATATATATATATTTATGTGCAAATCTTCTGTGTGCGTCTAATTTTGCGTGTGTTGGTGCAGCCGCTGCTCGTCTGGATTTATACATAACGCATACATAGAATACATACACACACTCACACAATTTATACACATGTGTTTGTATATATATAACAAATTTTTGCAGCCGCCGCCAGTCGCAGCAAAAAGGAAACGACGATGACAATGTAAAAAAAAGAGGCAGGGAAGCAAAAATGTCTCGAAACTAAAAATTGAATATGTATAGAATTGAATATTTCAATAATTTTTCGGCACTTACACATACACTTAATGACTTGGTAAACACGCGCGAAATGCCCTCAGATTGCTTATTTTATTAGTTTTGCGTGGTTTTTGTGTTTAATTTAAAATATTTAAATTACAATTATTTACACAGGATGAAGAAGAATACGGCTAAGAATTCTTCGACGTTGTCGTCGTCGCGAGAACGATAATAAAGCGAATGCGAATGCAAAGACACAGCGCCAGCGTCGAAAACACACAAAACCAGCAGGAGATTGCGCTCAGAGAGACCAAATTCATAGAAACAGAAAGAGAGAGAGCACGCTAAGAGAGAGCATGTGCCGGAAAATAGTGTGACCAAATTTGGTTAATGTGGGAAATGGCAAACAGCAAATAGAATAATAAGAAACATTACATTTATTATTACATTACATTTTACAGCGAATTAAAAAAATTATGAGATACATGAGCGAAATAATTATGTTTCTTACTTTTGGATCTCTCTAAGTCGCTTTGTTAAAGCAATTTACAGTCGCGCGTACTTACTTTTTCCGATAAACAGCAACGAGATGAAACAACTACAAAAACCGATGGAACAGCTGCTCGCATGCAAGAGCTCATTCGAACAGAGTTGCCACAAGTTGGCGAATTTGCAATTATTCAATTAAATCTAAATTTATCAATAAAAACTAACACAAAATGTTGTGAAAGAAGAATAAGATAGCTTTCCATGTCAGGAAGTGGCACAGTTGCTCAGCCTGTGCATTATTAAAAATTATAGGCAAACTAAACATCACACACGTGCAATTAAACACTCCTGTTTGCAAAATAATTCGATTTGTTATGCTTTGACCATTTTTATAGTTTCAATAAATCATATTTGTATAAAACAAACATTTATCTAGATCAATTTTAGTGACCGCTACAAATTCATTAGTTGCAAGTCCAAAGCACACTCACACACACACCCACACGAATCGCTGCAGCCGCAGTTTGCCTGTGTATTTGTTTTGTTTTCGTTAGCGGCATTTTTTATATCCAATTTGCGGCGTTTTACTGTTGCCGTTACTTGTGTTACAATGAAGCAAAATAAGCGTTGCACATCATTATCGCCTGCAATTAGCATATTACTTTCAATTTATTTCTTTTAGCAATTTGCATCTCAACTGGACGCAAATTTACGCAAAACATATTATGAAGCCGCACGCACGCACGCACAGGCAGTTAGAACATTCTCAATTTGCACGTGAACAATTGCAATAATGCGTATTCTAGTTATGTAAATATCATTCTAGTATATATTTACGCTTGTCGTACGATTAAATATTATTCACCTTAGCTTATTTGAAAAATGTACATATGCATGTATTACAAGCACGCCGTTCCTACAGACGATTTACAATGACTAAAATTTTGTTGTCGATAGAACATGCATTATCGACATCTACAATGCGATAACTGAGGCAAACATTTGCTGTTAACAGCACTTATTTTACATAAAACATATTCGATATACTCAAGACTATCGTCATGGCGGAAGTTACAAGAACCGGGAATTACAAATTGCAAGTTCATTCGCAATTTTATTCTATTTATTTATTTTTAATAAAATTAATGATCTGCACTTGTTTTCACATGTTGCTACAATGATATTTAATGTATTTCTATTATGTAGTTTTAAGCCAAAATTAATCCAATTATATATAGTAAAAATGGAATATGATGAAACTTTTTTTTTTCAGAATTATATATAAGGAAATGGAGGAGGGGGGGTGAATTTAACATAAAATAAAAACATATTGTATGTTCTCGCTGTTTTTTTTTTTCTCCTTTTTTCTGGATTTGTTGTCGGGACAATTGGGACATGTCGTACGGAGTTACTGCCTAGTGCACTCCAGTCAAGGGGTATGGTTTATGATTGGAATTTGCTTTTGTAGTAGTTACTTCATTAATTTGTCGCGTCCCAATAATCAATGTGCTGTTGCTGTTGTTCTTGCCTAAATACTATTAAAATTAAGCATTATTCCATGATGCTTCGTCGGAGACACACTCAACAGAATCATTCGCATTGTCTCCATCGCCATTCTCAGATGAATTTACTTCTTTGCGTTTGGATTTCGATTCGCTCTGGTTTGATTGCTTCCTCGGCTCATCGGAATCCTCATCTCCGGCATTATCATTTAATCCGCCACCGCCACTGCTATCCTCATTGTCCTCATCAGCATCGCCACTGTCGTCTGCTGCTCCTTGTGGCTTGCGTCCACGCTTCTTGGGCACCTTGCCATTGGATCCCTCCCCAACATCGCCAGCCGAATCTAGATCATCGTCACCATCGGGTTGATTGTTTGGCGATTTCTTGGGTCTTCCACGTGGCTTGGTTCCCGATCCGCTTTTGTTGTTTCCCGCCAATGCGGGTCGTCCTCGCTTCTTTGGCGTGGTTGACACTGCCGCCGTCGACTCCTCTGGCTCCACAGATTCATCATCATCCGATACATTCTGTGCCTGGTGGTCATCATCGTCATCATCGTCGTCTACAGCCTTAACGGGCGATTGGTTTGCCTTTGGGCGTCCACGTGGCCGTCCTGATGGCACATACGGAGCTGGCTTATTAGCCAGCGATGGACGTCCACGCTTCCGGGGCACTGTAGATGCTTCATCGCCATTCGATTCACCGGCTGGTGATGATAGCTTTACAGCCGCATCCGACTTATTCTTCCTGGGGCGTCCTTGACCTCGTCCAGTGCGCACAATATTCAAGTTGATTGAGCTACTTGCAGGACGACCAACGGGACGACGCTCATCGTCATCATCATCGAATTCTGCGTGCAGACGATTGAAATACATTTATATAAATATATGAAGATATATTCAGGCATTTGTATAATTACCATCCTCATCCTCGCTGGGTTGGTGCTTGCGGGGTCGTCCCAGCTTGCGGCGCTTGGCCGATGATGGCGACTTTTGTTGCTTTGCTGGTGGCTTCTCATCAGCCGACGAGTCCATATCATCATCATCGTTGCCACTGTTTTCTTGTGCCTGCACCGGAACCTTGCGCGGACGACCGCGTCCCTTGCTTTTTAATGGCTGTAGCAATTCGCCGTTGGCATCGCCCAACTCATCGTGATCCAGATCCTCGTCGTCACTGTTCGCGGCCGCAGCGGACAGCTTTGGCGGCCTACCACGCCCACCCTTAACCTTCGGCGGACGGCCGCGCTTTTTGGGTATTACTGGAATGTTGCTGTCGGCAGGAATGCCCGCTGCTGGAGCTGCACCGCCCGAAGTTCCCTTTGCCGGGCGTCCGCGCTTTTTGACCACTGCAACCTCCTCCATTTTTAATTATTTAATGATTGGTTTTCTTTTTTTTCTTTTTTTTTTATTATTATTATTTGCGCTTTCGATTTGACTGCAATGGACTCTGTTTATTTTTCAAACAAATTGTGTTTTCTTTATACGTTCTTCTTTGCATTCGCCTTCTTATTTTGTATGCTCACTTTGCAAATATACTCTGAGTCAAAATACAAAAATATATATTGTTAGAAATATAATTGATATGATAGTGTAAATTTGTTCAATGAATTATTAATTAATGATATGATTTTTTATGTTGAGCACTGGGAGATATAATTACATTTTGCAAATGGCAGGCACGTTAATAAATCCCTCCGAAAAATGAAAATCGGCGTCGGCGTCTTTTTTCTGCTCACTATCTCTACGTTCTTCGTTCTTCTGTGCACTCGCCTTCGTATTTTTATATGCTCAAACAGCAAATTTGCGCTGCGAGAAAATCGAAAAGAAATATTAAATACCGAAAAAATATATATTAAAATTAATTAAAAGTTTTCACTATATTTTGACAGGAGAATTAATTACTTTTTGCAAGCGGCAAGTACACTACTAAATCCCTCCGAAAACTGAAAATTGGCTTCGGCGTCTTTTTTCTGCTCACTATCTCTACGTTTTCGTCGCAGCGTCGATGCACGGACTATCGATAGATTGATTGAAATGGTGAAAAAAAAAGGTTTTTTTTTTTAATAAATTTAAATGCGTTGCTCGCACACCGCTAAATTTACTGATGTAAAATATGGAATGTAAAAATTCTCCACAGCTTTTAGTACATAACGTAAGCAAAGCAACGCAGAATAAATTTTATTTTCATGCCGGCCGGTAAAATTAGAGATTCATCGCAGTAGGCATTGCTAACTGGTTTGTCTGGGCTATCGATTGTTAAAACAGAGCGCGCTTTTATTATTTAAATACATTGGAACAAACAAATGTGTATCCGTGGTTACAAGCAATAACCTGGTTAGTGTTACAAGTCAGCTCAACTGTTTTCACTATTTGTATGTTTTATCTTATATGTATATACAAATAAAATATAAATAAAAATAATAAAAATGCGAAATTTTTAAAATCACCTCAGGTATATCTAGCACATACCAACATTTAATATTTAATTAATTCATAAAAAAAACCAAACATATATTTCAACATAATATATTGTAATAAAATAAATTATTGTATTATTATATTATAATGTAACATATACGTATAATATTACTTTTAAGCATAATATATTTCGTAAAACCATATACATAGTTTAAATACGTTAAAAAAAATAAATTCTATCTGAATTTTATTTAATAAATAAATTTATTTTAAATATCCGACATTAAAATAATTGTATGTTTCTTTACATACGTATGGTCATATGTATGTACATACGTGAACGGTACATAAATACATGTATGTATATAGCAAACAAGCTATGCACAAAGAAATATATAGATACATATATATATGCGCTTACATATGTATGTATGTATATTCACACGTTCTGCCATGCTGTGTATGGGATTTACTATAGGAATATAATTGTTGAATAATATTTCTTATAGATCGACATTATCCATGAAACGTTCAGAATATATATGTATGTGTCTTGGGGACATTTATGTAATTGGTATTAACAAATATTTTTCAGAAATGTTTTGTTAACAATATGCATGGAAAATAGGGCAGTATCAAAAAAACAAAAATTACACACATTGGATATTTTTTTCAGGTATTTCTCCAGAAAATTCTAGCGTGCGTGCCTTTGTTTTTTGTAATTATGTACATGGAATGCTCTTGAAAATTCATCAAATTCTGGTGCTAATCAAGTACGGGAAATTTACTAATTACAAAACAAAAAAAATGTTTTTTCTGACATCTGTTAAAAACTTTAGGTGGTG